AATTCATATTTACCTGTTATAATGCACAGAAATACCCAGTGATGCCAAGAACAAATTCTGAAATTATTTCCATAAAGCATGGCCACAGAAAAAGAAAGGGTGAGGGGGAAAGAAATTGTGGTTTGGTTTTCATCTGGTTTTGTTATTCATGCAGATTCTCAACTTGCCTGAAAGGGAGGCCACCGTTAAAGATCTGTTGATGTAGATAGCTAGCACACACTGTTAACACATTGATGGTTGTTGGGTGTTTTTTGTGTGTGTTCTTTTCTGGCAAACTGTGTCGCAACTTCACAGGATGCAAAACACCAATGGTCCCCCTTTGAGCACTATTTCCCTGTCCCAGTTCCTTCAAGATTTCTGTGCTGTCTGTCTCCACTTTCTCAAGCATTCCCTCTATGAGGAAAGATGTGTTTTGCATACAAGTTACCAATAATCACAAATCCATAGTTCTTGCAGAGAATCTAGACACCTAAGGGCACACTTGGGCAGACAGTACTTAACGATCCAGAGCAGCAGGGCAGTAGTCGGGCAAATATATTATGATTTATTACCAATAGAAGAGAGAAAGTGCTGGAGAGAATGCAAAGAAAGGACATTTTCTCTTCTGCTTGCACTATGGTGAGCTTGGATGCATAACAAACAAGGACAGGGATAAAAATGTTTGAAGATGGATACAGATCATGTGTGAATTTCTGCAGGGAATATTCGCCTGTGTGCAAAAACATGTTAGCTTAATCACGGAGCTTAGTATCTGCTACAGACAGGTTGTTTGGTTCTTAGAGAAGAGACATAAGGGAGGCAGAGCTACAAAATTAACACTCTGTGAAGGGTGATTGGTAGATGAGGACTGTGTACAGCTTGTTGATCTCACTGTTGTATGATACCACATTGCTTTGTGTAGTATGACTCACTCGGTGATGTAAGGCTGAATCAGAAAGAACGGGCATGAAATGTTAATCTGCACATTTACTTCTCGAGACATTAGCGTGGATGATGGACAAGAAGCGGTAAAAGTAGAAAACAGATGTGCCACCTGTACTCTTGAAAATTGCACTGTAATTTGCTATTGATGCCTCAGCAGCAGTCTTTAA